AGAAAATAAAACGCGTATTCGCATGTAATGGGTTGGGGATGAACATAAAAAATGTTCGCTTGTCGGTTTCAGTTTTAATATGTGCTCATTGTCTATGCTTTTATCTATTCATTTTTTATTTTAACCTTAAAGGTGCCAACCGGTTTTATGAGAACATTGTGGATATGGTAGGGTATCGGCCATTCCCGTGGTTCAAGTATTGCTGGAAGTTCACCCTTCCTGGTATGACATTGGTAAGGATACGTCTTTCAAAGTATGTAAATCGTTAAAAGTGCCATAATTATTTCCGTGGTGTCATGGTATAGTGGTGTGTACACTTGACTTTCATTCAAAAGGTCGAGAGTTCGAATCCCATCACGGCAAGGCATTAATCCACGTATGCCACTCCTTACTCGGGTGTCGGTGGTATCTGATATGCCAGAGCGTTATATATTTGGCCGCTCGGCTATGACCGGGGTAAATGTTGGAGCGCAGGATATCCATGATGAGATGTTAATTTCTAAGAATAAAACAAAAATTAATAAATAAGAATGATATCAGGTTTAAATGGGTTCTTGAAGTAGATCAGATAGCTATTTGCATTTCAAAATCCTTTAATCTATCATACCATTGCCATATTAACTATGAGATGCAAATTCTATTAGGTGGGAGGCAAGTGAGGATGAACCATACCTCCCCCGGCCCACTTCCTTTTTTTTCTACCGTGAGTGAAAACAAATCCGGGGCATATTTACTAGTCCGTGTACAAAGTGTGTATCGATGCGGGGAATGATGAGTTTACATTTTTCAAATTTTCTGATACGGAACTGCTGCACACGAATCCTAACCTCTTTCAGTAGATATGTACATGTAAATTATGAGATTGACGATAACGATGGTTCGTTTTGGGTTTGTCAAGCGGTCGACTCTCCGTTGCGCTATTCAAAGCTATACCAAACACTGGTAGCTTATAATTAAAAACTCAATATCAGTATGACTGTAACATATATTTCATCGTAAAGAGTAATTAGTGTACTGTCCAATGATACCCTATTAATATTTTTTCTGCCACGGATGACTGAGCACCAGGAGTATTTAAAAGCGCCGTCAAAATCTCCGTGTACCAAGTTTGGGATCAAGCACCGAATGTGCCGGGGTCCTATTTGTATGATGTAAAGATTGAAAAATCATTTTGGTTTCCCTTTGTAATCTTGTAATTCCTAACAGATTATCTGGATCTTCAGCATAGTCACCTGGGGTCCGATGACTTACGATGAGTACGAGTATCCAGGATACGCCGAAGTCCTAGGGTTCGGTATGGCTCTCTCCTCAATGCTGTGTATTCCAATAACCATGATCTACAAGATTAGTACAGTCGACGGGCCTGTCTTAGAGGTTGGTATATAGTGTCAAATGTACCCTTCATGAATGATGACGGATGTATAAGAAGCGTCATTCACTGCTTAAAGTAATTCGTTCCATTCCGAAGAAATATATAAGACAATGCAGATGGTTTGAAGGCATGTTGCTTCATACCGATATGACGTGTAGATTAAATGATTTACCAGGCCAATATTCTGTCAATGTCTAAAACTCTCTCGATAGCCCCTTGCATCCACTAGCAAAGAGGTGTGTCTTTAAGATGGTCTTTAATTACCTCTCCCAGGGTGTTCATATGAATCTCCCTGATTGGTACATTGCAAGTAACACCCCTTATACAGCCGTCTGAACATGATCTACTGACTATTGATCCATTTACGTCTCGATCATGCCTCATGGCCCTTTGCACACTAAGCGTGGTTTCGAATCCTCTATACACTAATGAAGCCAATGATATGAGGGCAGTTGGTGCATGCGCCAGAAATTCAACGCAATTTTACAGCTGTTCATGCTGCATTTATCTTCGTGTTCTCAGATGGTGGTCAATTGAGAACACGCCAGTCACTGACGCAACCCTACGTCATCAAACTAACACTTCGTGTGCAACGGACATCATGTTCATTTTACAATGATTTTCACCTGAATTGGACCGCGCTTCATACCACATGCAAATAGTGTGATTTAAACATCGATCGGAATTTGAAAACCACTAAAAACACTTGGCTAGATACCAAATGGTGTACCAAAAGTAAACGTAGATGGAGATGTAGATTTTGTAATGTATTCAAAGATTAAATGAACACGTCTTGTTGTTGAAAACGGTGTGCAAAAATATTTTCGTCGGAATCTTGCCAAAATTATACCAATATTTATTCTACTAGTATTTTCATTTTTCTCTACTGTTACTTTTTGTTTGCTTGTGAACCTACCTGTATACTTTTTGATATCCTCTTTTCTTCTTTGTTTGTTTGTTTCTTTTATCCTTTTCTTAATATTTTTCTATCTTTCTTTCTTTCGCTTTTCAGAGAATCAAATTCTTGATAGAGCCGTCTATTACACCGCAGTCCGAGGAATACTACGCTGAGGCTGATGCCAGTGAAATGGAGAAGTTTAAATGAAGACTTCGTTCTGCTAGAAGCCTCAAAAGAGCTATACCCCTTGCTGGACTTGAGCTCAAGAGCGATCCCACCAGCAGCCCTAAAGTTTTTCTAGGGCACTGAATCACTACGGGACGGGTAGTGATTCAGCCCACTCACCTTTTTCTTTCCTTTTTCTTCTTTTTTCTTCTTCTTGTTTTTTTCTTTCTTCTTTTGGTTGTTATTATTTCTTTAACAGAAATGTGTAGCTCAGTACACTTAACGTCTTCGCAAATTGCAGCGTCATATAAATTAATTGATAATAATAAATGATATATTTGAAAGAAGTAATTAATAACAATGAGCTCAAGAACAATCCCACCAGCAGCCCTAAAGTCTTTCAAGGTCACTGAATCACTACGGATAGTGATTCAGCCCACTCACGTTTTTTTTTCCTTCTTCTTTTTTTTGGGTTGTTATTATTTTTTAACAGAAATGTGAAGCTAAGTTCACTTTACATCTTCGTTAATTGCTGCGTCAGCAGCCCTAGAATTTTTCTACGGATATTGATTCAGGCCACTTATGTTTTTAGGGTGTTTTCTTCTTTTGTTCTTGTTTTTTGTTTTTAGTTATAAGGTACATAAATGTGAAGCCCAGTTCCCTTTAATTAATTAATTAATGATACTAACAGTTCTTGTTTACCCAGGATAGAGGCTATCAGTATTAAAGGGGGTGCGTCATGACGAGACTATGTGTCTTTCCCGTGGGCCTACTCGGGGCCAATCGGATATAATACGACTACGGTCGACGCGACCGCAGCATTCATGTGCGTGCAACATACGCGAAACCGAAGCGTGAGGAGAATTCTTATGCAGAATTGAATTACATTTCAGTTTCGTTGCGAAGATACGATCGATTCCAGTGGTATTTTGCTGCTGCCTTTATCATGTGATACTTAAGATTCGCTACTCATTTTTACTTGTATTGTATATATTTGAATTTGTATGCACGTCAATACTTACACGAAACATACACGGCAACATACGCGAAACCGAAGCGTGAGGAGAACTTCGGTCTGTTTCGCGAACGCTAGCGCGCGCTGACCCAGTTAATCAAGTCCATTCGTTTACGTGCAGTTGTCCAAAAGAAAATGTAGATTTTTGTTTTTTGTTATAAGGTACATAAATGTGAAGCCCAGTACACTTTAACCCACCCCCCCCCCCCCCCCCACTCCCCACTCCGAGAACGGACGGACCCCATGCGTGTTACCAAAATGTCCTTTTCGTAACAAAAGAAAAAGGTCGACCCGTATTTACTTTACACACCGGACTTTTGCTGAAAGGGGGGGGGGGGGGGGGGGGGTCGTCGCTTGGAACACGCATATGCGTCCCCTAAATAACACTGAGTGGGGGGGGGGGGCCGGGGGCGTTCACCATTATTTGCCATGATACACTCCCTTTAATGCTGTTTTCCCTGAAGGCCCTGCAATTATATATTTTTTTTTACCCCGGTGTGGCTTTAGCCGAGCTAATATGAAAAGGCGCTCAATAAGCATTAAAGGAATTTCTTCCTACCGGGTACCCATATGCCTCACCTGGGTGGAGTGTGGGAAATGTAGATTAATGACTTGCCAAAAGACATTAGTGCTGCGACAGAGATGCTCTGAGCGAGCTTCGAGTCTTATTCACTTTAAACGTCTGACAGTTTTCATCAGTGTTCAATAGTTTGATATCGATTTGTTAAATGATGAAGAAAACTGAATCAAGTGTGAAGGCACCACCTTTCAAATCAGACGCTCTAGGTTTCAATATTTGAAATGTCCTGAAGTAACAATCTGTACTTTAGGATAATATATTACACACGGAATATAGTCTCAATCTCCATATATTCCAGACGTCTCCAAGGGAATCTAAATACTTTAGAGTCATTGACTTTTGATCCATGAAAACGCATTCTATGAAATAAAAAAAAGAAAACGACGGTTTGAGCTCATTTATAGTAGGAGGAGCATGGTTATATGGGGAAGCTAACAAAATACTTTTTTTTTTTTGAGGGACGACTTAATTTTATGTGATTAAGTAAACAAATTAACACATCTTTTTGAAGCATCATTACTTAAATCCTTTAAGTAGAAAACAACTGAAACAAATTGGTGCAAATTACTTAGATTTTAAGAGAATTTATGTGATTAAAATATCCTTTATATAGAATGTACTCTTATTTAAGACATGAACAATTTGATTGATTAAATCAAATGAGTTATTCAATCAAAACAACATGTATAGATTAGTTTATCTCAATGGTAATGTAATCATATAATGTCTCTCTGCAGTAGACTTTTTCTCGGAAATTATCAATTAAAAAAACAAACATCAAATAAATGAAATACAATAAAGACGATTTTTTTTTCTCGAAATAAAGTGAAAGTTTGCTTCCGTACTGTCGGTGGATTTGCAGACAGATGTATGGTCTTCCGATTCTATGACTGAAGATATACGAAACAGGTGCCTTTCTGTCGGAATTAAATCCGACAGATTGTATTCTATACAAGGGAGATTTCTAGCTTAATACTCATGGATTTCAAGTGTTTTGGCTGGACATAATCTCCAGATTACAGTGGTAGAAACTCCCAATCCATTCTTGATCCTATTACTTGCATTTTACTGAACTGATTTTGTTTTACCATGTCAAATATAATCATCTTTATTTTGAGGATTTATTTAATTTATCAATTTAGTTACCGGTAATTTATTCCAAACCGAACCGGAGCTCCAAGATAATAACACAATTGACGCCTTGTGAAACCTCAAAGTTACTACAATAATATCTTATACATAAGATTTTGTTATGAATGCACACACACACACAAGATACTCTATGCAAGTTTGGAATCAAGTCCACACTTTTCCCACCCTGGGACTTGAAAGTGGTCGGGGTAAACAAAGTTTGTTATTAAGTACATAAGGGCAGCTCTCGTAATTATTTGACGTCACTGTGCAATTTTCAGGATTAGGCCTAAAAGTCAGGAGATAGTTGATTTTTTAGAGCGTATCTATAACTTATGGATTGCTCTGCTGTTGATTTTTATTTTCAAACCCACACTGAGATCGACTTCCATAATTTATAACAAAATCCTTCAGCGTTCTTGAATAAAATAGGTAAACTTTCTTTTTCTTTTCTCTTTTAACTGATTTTTGTACATTGAGAGGTGTTTGTCAATCATGAGCTTTCGAAAATTATGAATATATTATCGATGTGCCTTTCTTGGTGTAAACATATCTTATGCAGAATTGAATTACATTTCAATTTCGTTGCGAAGATACGATCGATTCCAGTGGTATTTTGCTGCATTTGCCTTTATCATGTGATACTTAAGATTCGCTACTCATTTTTACTTGTATTGTATATATTTGAATTTGTATGCACGTCAATACTTTGCAGTATCGTAGAAACATAATTTTTTTTTGTCGGTATGTACACAACTGACGCGGTACTTAATTGGTACATTGTAGGTTTTACTCTGAAATACTCCTCGTAAAACTTTAACTGAAAGTGGCGGTGGTGAAGGGAGGACTTTAGGGGAGAAAGGACCTTTTGAGAAAGGATGCCTTAAATGTTTTGGCGGAATTTCCGGTTGGGAAACGAATGAAGGAAGCAACTCAAGCTTTGATCGTGCGAGGGGGGGGGGGGGGGGTGGGTGGTGTATTTACACCTTTGACTTGGCCGCAGGTACTAAGTTGAGTTGAATGTCCGCGTCTGTTTCTGCCAGACTTGGGTTGGGTGTAGTTATGGTAGGCTAATTATCAAGCTGACTGTTAATCATTTTAAAAAGACAATTCAGACGGTGCATTACACGTCGTTGTATGAGAGAGCAAGAAGTTAATAGAGGCTAGTAACTTCTTGGAGAAAGCCACATTCTTGTCTCCCTTACGGTAATAGGCCTACCTGAAACAAAACGAGCAGTTTGTCTTTTACTCTCTTGGTAGAAAAATTACATTGATGTTCTGTATCTTCTATTGCTTTATATTTAGCTGGATAGATTCATATGTTTTCAAAGATGCCTGAATTCGTCTGGTTGATGTTTAATTGCTATTCATTCCAGGAAAGATTAAACAAAGTTAACAAACACTAGCTACTTAGTGTCTTGATAAGTTTTAGGTTCAGGGACGCTTCACTTGCTTGCCCTGGAGAAATCGTACTCTGCTATTCACGACTTGATGAAACATCCATAGATATCAATATATATTAATAAGGAAACAAGTATAATACATTCCTAAATATCACCACTGCCATTGATACCACCTTGGTAGTGCATTGTTGTATGTTCTTGAATATTGTTCGCCAAAAGGCAATGTGCGGTCAAAAAAATCTTATAGTATACTTTTCTTACCTCGGTTCAGGTTTATATCTACTTTGCATGGTATTTCAAAAACACATGCACATCGTTCATGATATTCAAGTTTTATTCTTTGTTCCGATATACACACACACAATTAATAATGATTACAAATAAAAATGAAATTCAGGTTTTCGTTAGAGAGCGTGATCGGTGTCATTGATGAGAATGTGTCAGATGGCTCTGAGCGTGACGTGCCGCCCTCTCGTGGGTGGTACTAAATAAACTGAAATTTATTAGTATATAACTTTTATTGCTATTATCAGTTTTCTAACAGGGACAATGTCTGTAATATTCATATATTGGATTTAATATAATTATATCAATTATTTGAAAAATGTTTTTTTTTTTAGGTATGAATTTTATATGGAAATAATATCATCTTTTTATGAAAATGTATTAGTCAGTCATATTGCGTACGATATAATTTTTTTCTATCTTTATCAGGAGAAATAAAGTGACAAATTAATTCAATTAAAATTGTCTTTTGCTATTTCTTATATCTCTGCGTTGGCATGTTTAAAAATGATTAGCTTGAAACAAAGAAACAAGGTGTTCGAAAATCGGAAAGCGGGTCCTTGATTTTTTAAAATTTGTTTTGTGGGGGGGGGGGGGGTTACCTTGTGTAGCATTCATTATGATAAAAAGTGGTCCAAAACATGGCAATATTGATTACCAAGAAACTACAACCTACTTACCCATAATCCTGAAACAGGGTTTTCCCCTTCTATAGCCCGTTTAATAGTAAATCTTGGTCTTGGTGTACGTCATTCTCTTAAAGAGCGTGTTCGGGTATTCGGGTGTTTTCCCTTTTCCGAATTCCACCACAAATTTGACAAGTGGCATTTTCGACCTTGGAATCGAGAAAGCAATGAGTATACTAGAGGGCAGAGACCCTGTCTTACTAGTTATGATTGATTGATTGATTGATTATTTGGTTGATTGATTATTTGACTGATTGTTTAGTTGACTGATTGTTTAGTTGAGTGATTGATTGGTTCGTGATTCAATTCAATTCAAAGTTTATTCAACACTCTTCATGAAAACATTTTAAAACATACACATACAGAATGGAGTTATAAAAAAACAAGAAAGTGATAACAAATACAATGGCAATTTATAAGAGCATTTGGGATAGGCAGAAAGGAGTGATTTCTTATATAAAAGCCTACCCCTAAAAACACACATACAGGAAAACGAGAACAAAAGAACAACAAAGAACATACTAAAACTTACTATCATGCAAGATCAGAGTAAAAACTTGATATCAATCAGGTTCTTCAGAGATGAAGGGTTGTATCTTTACCATTGATACGATGACTTGTATTGAATGCAGATCGGACAAGACCTCTCACGGAGTAGGCTTTTTTATGATTATACTTTGCTGCAATTCGGGTCAGCTATGAAGCATACTAGTAATGAAAGTGGCCGAGCTTTATGGGGGCGGGAGTTCGACAACTACCTTAATTTACCTTCATGAACTATTTTACCCCAATTTCGACAAAGCTGTTGGCTCGTTAGCAATAGCTCAAACTAAGGGGGCGGGGGGGATCAATGGGATGGATTGAAATTTTCTTATAATAAGAATGCAGTTTTTATTCGAGAGAATAAAGAGCCCGAGTTTAAAAGATTTTCAGACTTTTTATATCCCTACATATCCAGGGAATCGTTAAACCCTGGACTGTCTGAAGACGAACCTTGTATTGTTTTACAGCAAATGTAAATATGTTTGTTCTCATGGGACATCTCCAAATTCTATTCGTATCCCTTATTATACAATGTAGACAAGATAATGCGAAGCGCTGCTTTAAAGTACGTCTTCAGACATAGTTTATTGGAGTGTTTAGAGAGAGTTTCAAGTAGATAATAAAATCTTTTCTTGAAAACAATTCAAGAAGCTGTCGAACTTCATCCTCTCTCTTCATGTACCCATCACTACATCAGGCGTATGCTAAAACTTATAATATAGAGCCTGTTCCATCTTAAGTAGAGGTAGTTGAACAAAATATTGAAGTGGAAAAATCCGGGTTTGAACTCGGCTTCGAGGCCACTGTTTTTTTATCTCTGACCAAAGTCCGAGTGGAAAAAGACGGATACACTTGACATGACTTTGAGTTATAAGTGTGACCGGGAGCAATTCTTGGATTGTATAACGGGGGGGGGGGGGGGGGACGGACATTCACAGCGCTGCAATAAATAAAAAATGACCTATATTTACAAATGGTATTAGTCCACTCCTGCTTGGAAAAAGGACAATGAAAAGAACGAAGTCGGCATTATCTCATTATCTCAAAGACTGGCAAAGTCCGACGGAAACAATTCTTCTCTCTTCGGTATCTCTTATCCTACTTAATGATATCTCCTATCTTACTGAATGGTATCTCCTATTTTCTAAAAATCGAAATGCCCTCCATATCTTCCTATATAATGATTTGTCATTTATGAAATCAGGACAATGTTCAACCTTTCTTCGGGACGGGGTGGGGGGGGGGTCTTTATTTGTTTAACAGAATAACAGGTCATTAGAATAAAAAAAAATCTAGTACATTCTAATATAAATAAGTATTTTGAATTCCTATTTACCTGTTACTTTATTCAGTGGTTCTATTAAAACGTTATGAAGGGAGAGGGTGGACCTCTTAAACAAGTATTTTGATAACAAATAATGTCTAAAACTAAAATGCGCCATCAAAGGATTTTACTAAATACAAACGAGTAAAAATTAAAAAGAAAAGGTCTACACATTTTAGAGCAGGAACTATTGTGCCCCTAATTTAAGAACCCTGGATCCACCCTTTCTCAATCTTTAGAATGTACTGAAAATCATAACTGTAATGCGGAGGGGTTGTCTAATCTCCCTATTATAATGCCCTAAATTAATGTTGGGCTTTATACGTTTCACTCAACTCTAGCAGAGTTATTGCACATCGTTGCTGTCACTCGTTTAAACGAGGAATTGATCGACCTGAATCACCAGGGGTCTGTTTTTCCAATCATTATCAATATCAAGAATATTACCAAAATCAGTATCATCATTGTGACCATCATCATCATCAGCACCTTCATCACTATGTTGGACTTTATACGTTTCACTCAACTCTAGCAGAGTTATTACACATCGTTGCTGTCAATCGTTTAAACGAGGAATTGATCCACCTGAATCACCAGGGGTCTGTTTTTCCAATCATTATCAATATCAAGAATATTACCAAAATCAGTATCATCATTGTGACCATCATCATCATCAGCACCTTCATCACCATGTTGGACTTTATACCTTTCACTCAACTCTAGCAGAGTTAGTACACATCGTTGCTGTCAATCGTTTAAACGAGGAATTGATCCACCTGAATCACCAGGGGCCTGTTTTTCCAATCATTATCAATATCAAGAATATTACCAAAATCAGTATCATCATTGTGACCCTCATCATCATCACCATCATCATCATCATCATCAGCACCTTCATCACTGTCATCATCATCATCATCATCATCATCATCAACTTCATCACTGTCGTCATCACCTTCAGCATCATCATCATCATCATCAACACCTTCATCACCATCATCATCATCATCACCTTCATCACTGTCATTATAACCATCAACACCTTCATCATCATTATCATCATCACCTTCATCATTATCATCATCATCACCTTCATCATCATCATCATCATCACCTTCATCATCACCATCATCATCATCACCTTCATCATCACCTTCATCATCATCATCATCATCCATCATCATCACCTTCATCATCACCATCATCATCATCATCACCATCATCATCATCATCATCATCACCATCATCATCATCACCTTCATCATCACCATCATCATCACCTTCATCATCATCATCATCCATCATCATCACCATCACCATCATCATCATCACCATCATCATCATCATCATCATCACCTTCATCATCACCATCACCATCATCATCATCATCATCACCTTCATCATCACCTTCATCATCATCATCATCATCATCATCACCATCATCATCATCATCACCTTCATCATCATCCTCATCATCCATCACCATCACCATCATCATCATCATCATCATCATCATTATCAACACCTTCATTGTCATCATCATCTGTATCACACATTCACTAGAATAACATCATCAACATCTAAGGTTATCATTAGCATCATCATTAACACCATGATCATCAATCACACTCGAAAAATCATTGAAAAACAAAAAGCATCCCACAATTCTATATTTTTCATTTGCACAATGAAGCCTTTCCTTTATTCAATGTCACCTCTTCTCCTTCACAATCATATAATTTCTGAACCATTTCAATGAAAAGTAAACTTTTGAAACTTAAATAATGAGATGTTTAAATTTAGACATCACCGTCTGTCTTCATGCTTCCGAACCACATAAAGCGACAATGAGTGATTGCTCATAAAAACACAATGGTCTAAACATGTTATTGGCGTTGGTGAACCAAACATGTGTTGAAAACACGCACATTGGATCTTTAATTGAGGCAAGCTGGGCAAACAGTATGGGAAAATCAGGTTAATTACCACCAACATCGTTGAGATAACCTTCAAGGTACACACTTTCCTTCCACATGTTCTGTCCTGCATGTGTTGGGTACAAACACGTGGAAAGAAATGCATGTGAGGAAGACCAGAGAGGAAAAAAAAAAAAAAGATAAAAAGAGAGAGAGAATGAAAAGAGAATTTTTCATGTACCTAAGTTCAAAAGAACAAAATACAAATAAAACCTAATTCAAATTTTTGGTACATCACAAAAGAATGGCGAAGGGGGATTAGAATCATATAGACCTCCATAATCGCTGGAAGTGTTGATGTTCCCTCTTCAAAAAAATGTCTATTTTTTGTTCTAGTTTACCAATTAAAATTAAAATTAAAATTACAAATTTGCGAGTGTTGAAATTTGCATGAAAGCTACATATACTCTATTATCAAACATAGCATAATGGAATATTTTGTCTTGAAATATTTCAGGTTCGTGTAAGGTCATAAGCTCTACACAAGGAAAGTATACAATGGCAAGATACTGGTTATGTTTGCTATCTTCCTTTTTGGGTGTCATAGTTGGCATGATGGAGATGAAATTTGTCTACAAAATAATATGCATTTTTCATTAGTGGTTATTCTCACAACTAGTTTTCCTTTATCCAAGCTAGTAAATCCAAAGAGACCGACGAAATACATATCAATATATATATATATATATAATTCTTCTCTCATGAGAACTTACTCAAGTATAAAAGTGCCCCTAAAGAACATTTATCACAAAGAAACTCTCCCTAGTAAAAGTTTGAGTTGTTTGTATTTGTTTCACTTTATAATTGGATATGTTTTCTGGATAAGTTTAAATCAACATGATGTCCTACATCAAAATAAGCATGAAAACAAAACATTGAGGAAGATATACATATTCTGCCTTGATATCAAATTCCCACTCATGGATGATGCAGTTTTCTTATTAATTTACAGAACAAATTAGAGGTTTTGATTTAAATAATCGCTATATAATGATCATTGAAATTCAATACAGACAGATAAAGAGCGAAAATGCATCTGTGCTTTCAACCAGTATCCATATGACAAGCATCAATTGGAATGTTAACTTACACTTTGACATCAAATTCATACTCCATATGTGCATCTTTTAAATGTATATATATTTTTTTGTGATTTTTGTTTGTTTTTTGAAACATGATGACAAGAGGAACTAATATCATCACCTCCGAATACATTGCATTGCATTAGTATAAAAGCCTTTAACTTACAATATAAAAGTAAGGAAATTCCTGATTAAGAACAGACAGGTTTAGTATGAGCATCCAGCATTGTACAAAATATATTCACAAGATCATATGCCTCTATGCTACTCATACAATTCTAGTCCTGAAATTACTTCAATGAGAATACATGTACACTATTACACAGAGGCAGCCACATGCTTTGGGTAGATGTACAGCGTTTGAGTAAATTCATTAAACAAGGAAAAACAGAAGAAGACGAAAAAAAGGGGGTAAGAGGAGGGTTCACGTTTGCAAGTAAAATAACATTCAGAAATTGATGTATTGTTATTTTCTATAACATCTACTCATCTATACTTGAATATTGAATGATCGGCCAATTGAGATTCATTGTATGCTAACTGGAATCTATCATTGTTTGGTCCTTAGGCAGATGGTTCACATGTAACTCACATATCTAATGAGTACATATCACCTTACATTGACACACCTTTGCAAAAATATACAAATACATCTTGAATAATTTGTTGTTTTCTCTATACCATTGATGTGAGAGGTTCAGTCCTTGTAGGTCTGGAATGGAATGTGACAGGGGTAGTGACTGAAGCGAGCAAGTGAGTGGCAGCCGGTTAGTGCCACATGTCACAACCTTTGGAGGTCTCCGGAGAGTCGATTGGTGGTGCGATAAATCACGTTCTGCCCGCATGATTTCACTACTCCGGCACTGATCGCTCATCCTGCCGACTGGCCCGGCTCTCCCCTCTCATAGAATGGCAAGATGTTGTGGGAAGGAGGCAAAATAAAAACGGCTTTTTCCCTTGCGCTTGATTTCTCTCTCTCGACCAATAAAAAGTGTCCTCAGTCCTGATATTTGTAGAGGTATGGTCATTGTCTTCGAATCGAATCATCATCAAGCTCATTGCTTTCTCTATCATAGATCATAAATGGCAACGTCCATGTCTCACTGGTGATGGCATGATGATGAGGAGTACAAGCGGGACCTGTAAAATTTCATCTCTACAGCAGTAGTAGGGTTTAAGCTGCTGGAAGGGGGTGGGGGTGGGTGGGCGTGGCTCAGACACACGTCTCGTCCTGTCTCGCCCTCCTGATGGCGCTTCTGAAGAGTTGAAGCCACTGTTTCTTGTCGTGTTCGTCACTTGAATGCAGTGTGAAGGACTGTGAGAGGTTGGGATCTGTTGAACGGACCTTGAAACCACACTTGACTGCAGAAGAAAAAGAGAAAAAAGAAAGAAACAAAAACCATGAGTGAACTGAAGCTGGACCGCAATCAAGTGACATACATAGCCTTCAAATATATACATTTATAGAACCATATACTATTATTTCTATTTATTTTTAATAATTTTAACTATTATTTACAGTATAAGTGAAATATGAACAATTCTCATCACTGTTAGTTATGGAAACTGATTTATGGTCACATGAAGTATCAAAATTCCACCTGAGAGAATATACAACAATAGTTGATTTTAGGACGTTGCAATTATGATACCCCCCGTATCAGCGGGAGGTAACTTGAGGACATGGGTACACTGCACAACACCCACTGAATCACCCCCCACCCCTCATATCTTCAGCATCAATGCTTCTATAAATAGTCTAAATCACATGATCACATGACTGTGAAACCCTGGGATTGCATGAAGGATCTCTCATTTGAGTTTGCATGATTTAATTTATATTGACAAATTTACATGCACGAGAGAGAGAGAGAGAGAGAGAGAGAGAGAGAGAGAGAGAGAGAGAGAGAGAGGGGGGTAATTTAGATTTTGAAGAAACTATAACCAAAGTTGGGGTGGAGACCGTGGAGAGATTGCTATAGTAAGTGATCAAATGAATGATGTGCATCAATATGATTACGTGCAGAAGATTGACTACTGAATGAATGCAGAAGTCCAGGTCATGCAACAACACATATAAATTCCAAAAAAACATAATCATCCAAACAGATATATATTTTCAGCCCTCAGGCTGCATTTCATATTTAGAGTCGCTCAGTCAGTCCCCCACGTGGGTTTCAATCCAAAAAGAATCAAGAGAGTTGAACTGGAATGGATGATTTTCAGGTCAAGATCTAAGTGACCAAGGGAGCGTTCTAGAGCTACATGAGCCAGGGAGGAGTGAGTGCAAAGCCTTGGGCTCAATAAGGATTGGTTTACATCAGACAAAAGGACCACAAGGAGTGTTAAGAGAAAACAAGTCAGATGGAATAATCATATTTTTGCCCTTTTCTTTCAGATAGCAACCCTTTCAGAAGGTGCCACAGTGAACTCTGTATATACATGTACATGTAGGATAGATCTTGAATATGAAAATGTTGCATCACTTTTTTTTCTCCAATACAGGTTATAGTGTATAACACATAATCTTTAGCTGTCAAACAGACTCTTCAAATATTGAGCATTACATGTCTTGATCGCCTTCATATCACAGAGATAAGAGATAAATTGGTAATCTAGGTGCCATTTTGGATTAAAAACATGTTTCATTTGTGATTGAGCTGCTCTTAATGGGATATGAAGTCTTGGTGCATGCATGGCTAAAATCCTCCAAGGCCTATTACCTCTTACATTAGCAGGGGGTCAATCTAATTAGGATTAGGCTGGGCTGGGGAGGAAGGCCGGCTAGCCTGGGCGAGGGGGGATCAGAGGAGTGCCCCTGGCCTGGGTATAGGCGGTACAACCCAAGCTACAAACTCAGCCATGTTTAATATGCTGATTGTTTGATTAGAGTATGACAGGAAATGGGGGATGAGTAGAGTGGGAGAGAGAGAGCGAGAGAGGGCGACGCCTCATCTTGTAAGGGGGGTTGCCCTTGGAACAGCACAGGGCTGCTGTCATTGAGAGTAGTTGATATATGTATTAATAAACCAAACAGCACCCCTGGGGATTTGTTTTCATGCCATAATCCATGCCAGATGACTTGATAGTGCGAGGAAATCAATAACGGGGTGTGTGACTTGTAATTAATAGCAATTAGGGAACGCAATCTGCCTGCTAGCAATTCAATCGTACCTTACTCTAAGCTGCATGAGTGACTAAGCACAAACAATCCAGGCAAGCACGCTCAAAATCTTCACACATATTTTTTCACACTCTCTGTTTGACCCGACACATTTCAGGATTCGTAGAGTTGCCCTGAATACGAAAGGTGACATTTCATGCATTCTTCACACTTTATACGAGAAGTTTTATGCTGTCTTACTTATTGTATCGTATCATAGGTGTATCAGGCATGTGCCTCAAGCATTCCACATAACTAACTTTGCACCCTGCCTGTACTCTTTCACATACATGAAATTCTTACCAAACAACTTTCTTCACTATGCATATCAACATGGTACATGTCACAATGTTACATGCATGCAAGTGAACTGGACTGATCTCAAATGATATCAAGACAAGTGAATAAAAAATAACAAGGTTTGAACTTCTCAGAGTACAGGTTATTGAACTTAGTCTGAACTTTGAGACCCTCCTCTGACATTAATGTTCTCCATCCATTTTTCTGTTTATACCTGTTCATAATGTTCATAACATTATCATAGGGGTTAAAATACCCTTTGAATCATATCAATTTTTAGAATCCGAAACGATGGCAATATTTTCAATGGTGCCGTGGACAGGTCTTATCACTAAAGCCAGATAAAAGTCCAACGAAGCAGACTAAATTCAGAGTGCAGCAAGGCTTGGATCTCTTACCTGAAGGTCCGTGTGAGAGTGCCCCTCTGAAAGAACCCGACCTCCTGACCTCTCCCTCTGGTATGTCCTCTAGCGCCATTGTCCTGACGGGGATGGGCTGCCTGTACACCTGATAACACTTGCGATTGTTTCTCGTAATCAGTCTCGTCACCACCAGAATGTCTTCGAAGAGGAATACGTGAAGTTTCTGTATGATGAAGAAAAGTAAAAGAAGGATTGTAAGAACCTTGAAACATCCTTCACAAATTTCATAGGGTGTTCTGAACATGTATTTGATTGTGGAAAAAATAAAATGCTATCCTGGGTGCTCATTTCATAGCCATTTGATCATTTCTTTTTTCAGGGGATAAACGACAGAATTCAACTTACCGTTCCCTTTGTGCTTTTGAGGACACCCCCACAGAGAAGATTCTTCTGGTATGCGATGAGGTGGTTGCGTTGCCTGTCGTCCAGATACTCAAATGTGTCGATAAAATGCTTGCATTTTGTCTCTCCCGTTCTCCTGTCAACCTCGCTGACGATCTCCTTGCACATCTTGATCTGCAGAGGGCAAAGGTCATAACATAAGATGAGTGGTTTAATTGAGCAATGATGCAGGTCAAATGATGATAATAGGTAAAGCCTGAATGGTTAAACAATATTTGATTCCCTTTCTGAGCATTACAGTTATGTATGATTATCAAATATTCATGAGTAATTTAGTATGATATCAGGCAGAACACAGTAAAAATTATAATTTTTGAGAGCAAAATGGACATAAAAGCCTTTTACATAAAAATTCAAAATCTGAGATATCTTACCGCTAATGTGATGTTGATCTTGTCCTCATGGTCTGAGGGTGTCCCTTTGAGGATGTTCTTGAAGAGGAGGGGGTATTTGACCAATCGACTGCGAGGGACATCGAGGAAGTTCCACAGGTCCAGTTTTCGGCTGAACGGAGATTCAATGCACCTCTCCAGGAAGTCGTTGACCTAGTGGTTGTCATGGTAAAGGTAAGATGTGGAAAGGAGAAAAATGGAGGGATGGATGGGGGTAGGAGAGAATCGTAGAGAGGAAGCGTGGGGGAGAAAGCATGGGGGAGAGAGAGAGAGAGAGAGGAAGAAATAAATGAGATTTCATTAATAATGTATAAATGAGCCAGACATAATTAGCAATAATCACATGAGGCAACCACAAGAGTCTTTACTAAGAAAGAGAGGGCAGGGAAGCCCCCTGAGACGTGGGGTGCATGCATGGATCTCCTGCATTAAAGATGAGCTTATTATTACGTGACGACGTACAGCACAAAGCTGATTGTCATTAGTCAAAGTCTGAAATTACCGGTATTAGAGGCAGTCGGAAGCATTAGAGAGAAAGAGGAAGAGAGATAGTGGGGAAGACAGAAAGACCAAGAGAGAGAGAGAGAGAGAGAGAGAGAGAGAGACAGAAAGAAATGTAAAGAGAAAGAAAGAAAAGACAGTAAGAAAATTTGAAGAGAAAGAAAGTTAAAGGAAGAAAGAGTAAGAGATAGATACAAAGTAAGACAAAAAATAACATTATGCATTAAACAACTAACAATGTAGAGACATTTATATGCTTCAAAATATGGTTCTCAGAACAAGTAGCAGAACATGAAATGTAGATACTAATTGATATGATTTCTTACCTTTGAATCCTGTTTCTTTTCATCTAGTAAGGTTTTAGCTGCAAGTTGGTTTGTACAGTACGTCACATACACTTCTGTCACCAAAGGCAGCTGCAAATATAAAAGATTTTAAAAAGTAAAATACAAAATACAAATAAGGAATATTCCAAATAAATAAAAGTTTATAAAAAAAAGGTTTTTAATCAAATGGTTTTTAACCTAATTTTCCTTTTGTTTTTGTTTATCATCCTGGTCATAATTCTGTTTTGTTCTATTTTTACATTCATTACAGCACCTGTATGTGGGTGTAATAAATAAGACATGGAAACTGAGAAGGCTAAGCTAGTGATCCTTTAATCTCTTTTATTTCCTACAGGAAAGCATCAAGGAAAGCTTTGTTATTAATCTTTGTGTGTAGGTTTGTGAGCGATCTTAGTCACGTTTATATAATAAACGTGAAACACCTACACATGAAAATTGATACTGAACCTTTCCTTGTTCGAAAGAAATATGAAATGAATTCAGGGACCCATCTTCTAAAGAGTTGCAATTGATCCACAACAAAGTTTGTAGTCTCCTACCTCGTATGTACATACAGTAGCTGAGATCGATATCAATTGCAGATAAGTTGTGATTAATAGCAACTCTTCATTAAACGGGCCCACATTACAGACATATTTAATTATAGCGATTGACACATTATTATCAAGAGAGAAGACCCACTGGGCGAGGAGAATAATATTATTATAGCATGAATGAATGCTTACCCATTTCAGCAGCACCTTTCCAACTTCTTCCGTCGCACCATTGTTACCCCTCTGTTTCTGAAGATCACATACAAGCTCTGGAAGAAGAATTAAAAGAAAAGCCTCTTCATTAGCATTGGATGTCAATCTATACTCTATGCTTCCAGCTATGCTTGCAAACCACGTTCTGTTTCCAAGAACTGCCATTAATATCCAATAAAGGGCAGAGGGAGGCTTAATTAACGACCAGAGAAATTGAGGGGTCCTTTTCATTGCTTACACCCCTAGAGGTTTTCAAACTGATTAGGGACGTAGCACTCCCACCTAGGACATGAATACGAAACAGAGTAGAGCTGGCCGGGCCAAAGCTGAAACCGACACCCTTTATTTTTGCCTAATGTACACAAAGTCCCCTCTCGTGCCCCATGATAGCTAAATCTACCTGGAAACTGCAATATGAAATGCAATCTGCTCATTTTTACTGTTTACAAATAAAAATATCGGGTTGAGTTTTAGGAAAAATTTGATTATAATGATATAGAGTTACAATGTGACCATATAAATGTACATGGCTACGAGGAAGAAGAGTATTGATGCCAATAAGGCTTCCCTAGATAAGAGAGATTTTTATCAGTATTATTTATTATGTATTATAAATCGGTTTTTTGCTCACATAAGCTCAGACAACTGTCGATTTTACACACAGTATTTCTGGTCATTTGAGTCATGTGAGTGATAGGATGAAAGGAAGGAACTAGTTGAACCTCTAAATAATCCCAACTCAACATGACACAATACATGAAGACATATTTCCTGCTCAATGATCTGTTAGGAAATCTGACATGCCGGCTTAAATCTTTGAGATATTGCCATACTTCCTCGAGACCATACTTCCAAAACCATAGAAAAACCACAATTTCATTTAATTCAAAAAACACTTATGGTTTTTTTTTTCATTGAAAAAACAAACACTGAATAGCAATCATTTTACATCAACTGTTTTCCATATGTCAGAGCATATCCGCAAAGTTTAGTTTATAATAGAACATCAACTTCCATGGTCTGGCCTCCCACTTAAAGAATGCCTCTTATGGCATCAGAATTGTGTGATAAACCCGGACCATTCACATAGAGAAAAACAAAATATTTCCCTCCTTCCTACCACAAAAGAATGTTTAAAGGAACCTCCTATGACAATCACGCACTTTGCGTTACAAGCGGTAGCACACACTGAAAGGAAGTGATACCCATATCGGTAATCGTTTGTTTATTCCTGTTGTTTGTTAGACGCAAGGTGATTCAAAGGTATTTAATCGTTCATCCAAAAATAAACCAAACCACATTCTTGCATATTTTCCCACATTACAATACGTAAATATCCGATTGATGATGAGCCGGAACAATACAGTTTCTATCGTAACCAAACATAATTTATTTACAATCATAACCACACCTGACAACAGCACAATCACAATGCCACTTAACAATAATTACACTACCACCTAACACTCGTGAACCTATTCATGATAATTGCCTGCATTTTTGTGGTTTTGCTCCATAGTTTTCCTTTCAGAGCCCTATTCATAAACCAGATTTATGGGCATCAAGAGCACAATAGTCAATTTTGTTATCAAATACTGTAGTGTTTGACACAATGAATTTATAACAGAAATAAACATTAAACTCATGAACTGGAAACATTTTGAAAAGGTTGATTTGAAGAAGGAAAAATATACAAATTGGTGAATTTCTAACCTTTCAATGCAGTTTCTGCCTAGGTATATTATTTATTTATTTGATATTGTACCCATGTACCAGGCATAAATGACTAGTTCTTAATTTGCCCAATATTTCTTTATGTTAGTGATATGTGCTATATAAGCAATGTTAATTATTATCATTATTATGCATTCTTTTCAAATACATGAATCAATTCGGTATCGAATTTAAAATGCAGGAATCAACGGGTTAAGAGGATCTATGCTTACCTTCATGGATCATGCGGAGTTCTTCCAGAGAGCCGAAAATGATGTTGAGTTCTTGATCGGTGAGGATCTGAAGGGATCTCATGGCATCTCTGTATGTCTTCATCACCAGGTAGAGATCATCCACCAGGTCCACCTCACCCTGGAACAACTCAAAGATTGCCTGCAGAGAAACACAGAGGAACATGGACACTTTGGTAAATCTTGCAACTTGTGGTCTTTACAGACAGGTATGTTTTAAAATGCAGGTGAACTCTTTGGTAGTTTTGACTGACAAAGACCACTCAAAGGACCAAAGTAATATAATTAGTTTGTCTATTGGAAGCTATCATTGTCTGTAAGGTCTCTAAATTCAAATGGTCAATGTGGTATGAGTGGCTGTATAGTGTCTAGCATGAGAGAGAGAGAGAATTGACCAAGAACTCACCTCCTGTCTCTTAATCTCGTTCTTGGTGAGAGGCTCGTTGATGTTTCCCTGGACGGTCTCGGACCAGAGTTTGTTGTCCCGCCTCTTGGTGGGTGTAGCTGGGGGTTTACAGTAGGGTTTGATGGTCATCGATCCACTGTGGCTGCCTTTGCTAAAGCTCATGGAGCGCTGCAACACAAAACGAGCAGAATGAAGCCGATGAGAACAATGTGACTATATCGTCTCAAGGTAATTGAAGCTCAACAGAATCTCATATGTTTCTATCCGAGCTTGAATAGTGAACATATGAAACTCTTTCAACTTCTTGTGAAGAGTGGGATAAGATAAATGAAAGACCTCATATTTTCACTGAAACCTTAAAACATTATCAGTGTTAAAACACAAGAGAGCCATATAGAAACAGTGAGTGTGAGATAAAGAAATAATCAATACATGTTGGCTCATCAGTCAATGAACATCTTGCAATCCTCTCCTTTCTCTCTCTATCACTCTCTGTCTCTCTTTCTCTCTCTAAATGTTGCCTTGCTATTCTTCATCTAATCATATCCTGTTTACATGTTTTTTTAAACATCAACAACAAAAACTACAAAACAATTGACAAAGACATCAAAATGTCTTCAGTTCTATCTGCAATAAGTTGAATGGTAATCCTTCACGTTTGATTGGTTTTAAGAAGGAAATGGCTTACCATGGATTATCCTTGTTTTCCTCAGATTAAAATATTTTGCCTTTCCTTTTTAATCCCTTACTGCCTAATCACTGTTGTCTATAGATTCAATCACTTGAATAAATCTGTTATCATTGTCATGGCAGCTTGAAAATGCTACAAATTTGGGAACATTGTGCACAGATCTTTTCAGGATATCAAGAACATGTTGGCCAAATCCAAATCTGTTCAACTACTTTCACTGAAAGCAAGTTTGTAGAAGGCATATGTTGTACAGACAATAAAAGAATAAACAATACATGAATAAATGTCAAAGTGTATTTTGAAGAAGAAAAAAAAATAAGTGTAGACTGAGGTACAGAATCTAGAATCACTGAGACAGAGGATCACTAGCCTTTGTCCACACATGCTGTCTACAAACAGCATCCTAACTCAACACTGGTGATGGTAATTAAACTCAGTTTAAAATTCAAAACATCACTGTCAACATACCTCAGATGTATGAAAGAGTGGAGCCATCATGAATACAGCTGATTAAAAATATGAAAGTTGCCAAGAAAATCCTTTTAAATAATCCTTCAAAGAGCGTCTGGTTGCTTGGTAAATTCCTCACATCCACAAGTGACATGGGAGCTTTGTAAAGCTCTGACTACTTCGCGCACAGACAGGTTGTTAACTACTAAGTCCAGACGATGACAGACAACATATTTTATCAAAAGATGCGAGGTATTCCCTATTCCCTGCAAGAAGCAGACTTCTATGAAATCAGTGGTATACCATGGGTATACAAAAAGGGGAAACCCATATCATGTAGAATATACATGTAGCTGCAAACAAGGGTGCAGGGATGATCACTCACTCATAGTCTGCATTGAGAGTGTACACGAAAGGAGTAGGCCGCACCTCCTTGTACTGTGATTGGTGGAATCTATGGTGGGCTAATTTCATTGTAAAAGTAGGGGAGTAATGTGAAAACCATCAGAGGGACCATCTTATCTCATTTGATCAGACAGTGTACTTAGCTAATGCTATGTAAATCTGCTTTTTGAGTACCAGTAGTTAAAGTCATTTTTGTTTAAAACTAGACAAAAACAAAGTTTGTAGTCATTCTTTGTGTGCTTATTTCTGTGTATTTCATATCAAATTCAAAATAATTGAAATGCAAATTTCGTAAGTTGTCAATCTCAGGCTTTATGTCAAACTTCATGCTATTACGCTGTAGTCCTCCTACATGTATATAAGGTGAATGATCTATTCGTAATTTTGTATTGATGATGCATTGAATGTTCAACCTATTTCCTTACTTTTTCTATACATGTATTCGAAACTAAATCCAAAGGAAAAAATTGAACCACTGTGACATTAATGAATTAATGAGCATGAATATGCATGTTTGCAAAGATGATATAGAAATCAATAATATAAATTTAATAAATAACATTTTAAAAATGAATCAAGTAATGAAAAAAATTGTGTGAAAAGGATAATCAACCTTTTGATACAAGAAAATAAATAACTTCTGATGATAATGTACTGTAATTTAAAGTATTAAAGGTTAAATACATAGGGGGCCTACATAAATAACAAAATTTACAATTTGCAATTTTGGCAGCAACGTAGAAGGAAAAAAATGCAATAATTATACTTGGGCCATGTCATGTGAGTAAAACTAAAAATACACATTGTTTGTGAGTTCACCCATGTGTTAAGGATTAGTTGTGTTCTATGGAAAAAGAACTATTTGCACATCCCTCACACAAACATAAGGGATTCTTTAAATTCCTGACATACTTAGCAAATTCCAGGGTTCCAGCACCGGGAGTACAAAACCAATAGTTGATTATTTGTTGACTTCAGGTTAATCAGGTATCAATTTAATCCTCTAATTTGCTTAGCCACCATTATTCTACCTATTATTCAAACTATGCTACACTGTAAACCGCATGATACAGACAGACCTTGTCCGGTTATTTCTTTGAATAAATAAAAACAGAAATAACATCAAGAATTTTGCATTTTCTAAATACCTAGAATTTCTCAGGGACACATAGGTTTTTTAATAAAAAATAAACATTTCTAATGATTAAAGAGAACATTACAGTCAAACCTGTATGAAAGACTGCTCAAAGAAGGTAATGAAAACTCTATTTACAGACAGACAGACAGACAGGTGGTCTTTATGTACAATTTTCAATGTGAAATAAATCAAACAACAAAAGAAAAACTAATATCGCCTATCGAGGCAGATAAATACGGTAAGCAAATTATAATCTATCGCTCCCACCCACTCATGACGAGGCTGCATGCTTTGATAGATTGATACACTACACGTTCTTAATTCACTTGAAAGAAAGCACTATCTACACAATTTCATTTTGCGTTTTCCTAACGGTTTTCATAACACTACAGTCTATTGGGGAAAATGAGTATGATACAACTGCATTGTCACTCAAAGATTTTTACTTTTTTGAGGCACTTCGTGATCGTTTTGAAGCGCATTTTTTTCAGGGCTTAAATATTACACCATATCACAGACACTGATAACACGTAGGGCCATGCATATCAGATTAACATTGTTAAACAATGCCTTTAGTTTTAAATAATACGCACGTGTATATGCCAGAGAGAATAATATGTTTACGCTGGTGTTTCATCATTATTTTTGGATGTGGGTCTTCCATGCGTCTGAGCTAATTGGAAGCTCATGTGAAAGTTTGTAGTATGTGTTATATTAAGGAGATATAGGTAGGCCCAATTACACTGCTAAAAACCAATTTGAAAAACCATAAGTTTTTTGCTCTAACATTTTACACTACTGGAAAAACAAGTTGACTTTGATGATTGCTTATTTTTTGTTGTTGTTGCTGCGTCGTGCTCATACAAGTCATACATGTGAGACCTGTTGCTACTGCCTGCAATGCCACAGGAAGTGACGAAAGTTTTAACAAAAACTGAATAATTCACCTGTGTTTTGAGATTGTGCAATGACAGAGTTTAAAAAGAGAGGGTTTTTTTAATTCAGGTTATTTTTCATGTTTATGTGGCAACTTCCAAAAAACTCTGGAATGTGAGAAAAACCTATGGCTCTTGCTTGCACTGTTAATTCCCATTATATCTCCTCCGTGAGATTCGTCATCTTTTTCTTTTATATTTGACAGAATTTGACACCATACTAGAGCCTTATCACTTTGATAATGAAGGATACCTGAATGATTGGGACAGGAAACTTGTGGACGATCACATCAGTCATAAAAGTTCTCGATGAGTAGAGAGGCGTTAGCTTCTTTGCGTAATTAAAGACAGGGTGCGGTGTTGTCTCGGAGTCAGTCTATACAAATGATTAATGCCACGGTCATCGAGGCTCTCATAAATAGACCTACATTGGCAGCTGAATTGACCACTGGCGCCAACTAAAGAGGGAAGTCCTCTTGACCCATCCACCTTACTGATTGTAACACACAGGCTAAGGTGATCATTGTTCCTGGGTCAATTTAATTCAAACATTTATAATGCAAAGTCAAAACTTCTAGCCTGGACAAAAGGCCATACTAAAGCCTAACTTTATGGTCCCTAACCCTAGAACCTTATCAAATCAACCCAAACCCTATCCCTATCTCTTTGGCAAAGCAAAGCCCAGAGAAATGGTGCAAGAACAATGTCATGATCACCCCTTCTCCACCTCTGTTTCTTTCTCTTCTCACTATCCATTTCAAAATCAATGAAATCTGAAGTTGTTGTTGTTGTTGTTGTTGTTATTTTAGGGTGGGGGGGGGGGGCTTATCAAATGTATAAATAATGTTTAAAATCATAAGAATACAATCTTGAAATGGCCATGTGCACTTGTCCTTTGACTTATTTGAGTTTACTTTTAAATTCACTTTTGGGCTTCCTTCCTCTTTTCTGAGAAATTTGATAAAAGCATAAGAATCAAATCTAAAAATGGCCATGTGTACTTGGACTTCGAGTTTACTTTTTATAGTAGGCTTAAGGCTTCCCACCTTTTTTCTGAGCAATTTGATGCTAACCCAATTAATGAATTAATTCAATCCGTTTTAAACATGAAGTTCATAATGAATAAAAGAGTTTACTTTTTAATTCGCTTGTGGGATTCCTCCCTCTTTTCCGAGAAATTTAATGCTAGCCCAATTAATGCATCTCCTGTGACAATCAACTATACACGATTGTCCATTCTACTGTACTATGTAATTTGTATATATATATATATATCTTTCTTTTTCATTGAATTCGAAAAAAACTAATCTGAAAACTTATCTCTACACCAAGCAATCATACAACAACTTTACTAACAATTCATAACAAAACGATTTTTGACCTACAAACTGAGTCCAAAGAAAGTAAGACGAAACCCTGCTGGACAGTTGGACCACTCGGCTTGCTTCTGGCAAACAATCTCTCAAAATAGACATTTCTTTTCCTTTGGCACAATACTACCTACTGCGCTCAGCACTGAGAAAATGGACAACAGTTTATGAGTTTAACC